AGTGGTGGAGTACTAGACTTGCGTGAAAAACAAAGGACAGTGCCCAGGCTCTGAGTTCAAGCCCCAGTGTTAGCACACACACAACCCAAAAGGAGAAACAGTTTCGAAGTCAATTCCAAGTTTATCTCCTTTAACATGAGTGGCTTTCCAAAGAGACTTACTATGGCAATGCTAGGAGCTGTTTTAACCATTTAGTTAAATTCTCAGTCTAAATGGCAGTAAGAGCATTGAAAGGAAAAATTCAAAAAGCTTTAAGAAAGGCCTGTTGTTTCCTGGGCAGCCCTCTCTGCACAGTCAGGGACAGAAAAGGTCGAGTCTGTATATTGTATTGCACAGCTACAGAATAGGTACACATGGTTGCCTAGCAATGAATGTGTAAATGTGAGCAAACAAGAGAAAAGAGAAAGGCAAAGCGAGCATTCTCTGGGACTCCCTTAGATGGGTTCTGGCCATTAAGAGCCATCTGCCAGCAGGGACTAAAAATGGCAGAGAGACTCATAAAGAACAAACAGAGGGCCAAGGTCCCAAGGGATGACTCATGTTGGAAAAGGTAATCTAAAAGTGAATACCTTTTTAAAAATTTTAAGTGCAAATCGATTAAATAGGGATACAGGTGGACACATTGCAACAATGAGATGTACAAGTCGTTATGTGGAAAAAGGAACTTTACAACTTTGGTGGGGGGGGGAGGATTGGGTTGGGGGGACGGAGGAAGGATGGGAAAGGATGAGAAGGGGAAACTAAGGAGGAGGCTACAATGCTTGATAAGAAATGTACTCATTATCTTGCCCATGTAATTGTAACCCCTCTGTACAGTATTTTCACAATAAAAAAAAGAATAGAAAAAAAATTTTAAGTGCAGTATTTAGCATTCCAGACCAAAAGCTGTCTCTGATTTCTCTGGTCTCATTATTATTAATAATTTTTTATTGAGATTGCCCTAGGTGATTGCATAAATTTCACAAATTTCACAAATTGTTGGATAATGATACTTAAAGTCACAAACCCATTTTAACCTTCACGAGGCGTATTGTTATTATCATGGTCTATAAAGCTTATGGACTCTACAAACTTTCACACTACAGCTATTTCTTCTGAAGTCTTCTTCAAAGACCACAAAGTACCATGTGGAGGCACTTGGGACAGAAGAAATGGCTTGGAGGTCCATCTGAAAGTCAAGCCCTCATCAGGGAAGTAAAATGAAGTCATGATTTGGTAATAGAGGCACACAGTATGAAAGGAGGTATTCTACTGTTCCTTATGTAATATAATGATCTAATAAAGGAAGCAGTTAAATAAAGCAGAGTACCTGTAACAAGTTGCACCTTCACTGGCTGCTCATGGCTCACATCTTAATCCCAGCTATTCAGGAGGCTGAGATCTGAGAACTGAGGTTGAAAGCCAGCCCAGGCAGAAAAATCTGTGTGATTCTTACGTTCAATTCAACAGCAAAAAGCCAGAAGTGGAGGTGTAGCCTAAGTGGTAGCCTAAGCTGCCAGCCTTGAGCAAGAAGGTAAGAGTATGAGGCCCTGTGTTAAGCCCATCCACCCACACCCACACATTACACTTTCATAGAAGAGGAACACCAATTAGACCGATTATGCTTTTTTTTTAAATCACAAGCCTCAGTAATTCTGCCAATCACACTTACAAGAAATCCCCTAGATAGAAATACTAGAAGGCAAGGCTATGCATGGCCTTAACTCATCTAAAACATTCTAGTTTTTGGTGCAGTCTGGTACATACAGAAAATGACCCCAACAGGCTTTGTCTTTTAAGTCCAATTCTACAAAGTGAAAACAAGTATGACCACATTGCAGGTCCCCCCGGTTATCTCTGGCACAAAACAACTCACAGCAATTAATGAGACTGGAAGGAACATGGAGAAAGATATTAAAAGTATAAAGTGTTCACTAGAATTGGAATACTTCTGCATCTGTGGTCTTATGCGTGACTTGTCTTTCCCTCATAAGTGTGTGAACGGGGGTGGTAAATATTAAGTTTCTAAACACAAGTATGTTTTGGATAAAGAAGAGAATTTGTAGTATGGTGCTGTACCACTGGTTGCTTCAGAAGCAGAGTAGGAAATTACACCAGTCCAAAGAGAAATATGAAAAGGATTTATCTTTTTCCTTGTATTGAAACTATATGGAATATTTACACGTGGATAGTCATTCAAAGCCCCAAAGGACAAAGCACAGTTCTCAAAGACCACACATAATAGAAACCATCTTTTAAGAGAAAGCAACCTGGGCATCTCCTCATCCTTTGGTGTGCTATCACAAAACTTGGTAGACTATCAGCTAAAAGTACACAATCTAAGCAACAGCCAATGAAGTTCACTTGTGCCTGGCTTCACAGCAGACCCTTTGCTAAAAGAATTGTTTCACAGGCTGCTGAGAAGCTTGATCACTATGTCCCAGGCTCAAGGAAGTGGACCTGTGGCTCAAAGCGGTAGAGCACTAGTCTTGAGCAAAAGAGCTCAGGGACAGCACCCAAATCCTGAGTTCAAGCCCCATAGCCACCAAAATTCAAATTCTGATCTCCCATTCACTGTCTCCTAACATGGGCCAGGAGGGACCTGGTCTATTAATTATCTTCCACATAAAATGTAAGAGAATGATAATGCTTACCTCTAAAGTGTACTAAGAAGATTAACTAGCATGTGAAAATCACGTAAGACAGTTCTAGTCAGGTGCAGTGGTGTGTGCCTTTAGATCTACATACTCGGGAGGCTGGAAGATGGCTTGAGCCCAGAACTGAAGGCTAGCCTGGGCCACAGAAAGATTTGCTGTGGAACAACAACAATGAAAATACTGTGGATGTGGTAAAGTTCAAGAAGGGCCCATACGGAGCAATGAGGACATTAAGGTGGCAACAGCTGGTGTTCTTCATCAAGACGACAAGAGGACATATTCCACTAAAGCTACAAGAAGCTATGAGATTGCTGGGCTGGATGACAGGTTTATAAACCTGGTGTAGCAAAGAGTAGATGAAGCCCAAATGAATGAACACTCCATCTATCCAACCGGAAAAGGCTTATGAGGTGCCATAAGCTCCGTAAGAGCAGAGATGCGGTCTATGCATCTATCTATATGTCTCCACTGACATTTGGAATCCTGCCTGTATGTAATTAATGCTATGTATATTTATATATTACATCTAAGTATATATATATATTAAATATAAATATGTAATTATATATTTTTATGTTTAATATATTTTTATGTTTTTATTGTGAAAATACTGTACAGAGGGGTTACAGTTACATGAGCAAGGTAATGAGTACATTTCTTATCATATATTGTTGCCTCCTCCTTTGTTTTTCCCCTATTATCCCTTTCCCACTTCCACAACTACACTCCCCACCCCACACACCCTGCCTAAACTGTAAAGTTCATTGTTCAACAGTGTCTTGTACATCTCATTGTTACAATGGGTCAACCTGTATCTCTATTTAAACAGTTTGTTTTTTTCCTTCCCCCCCCCCAAATTATACGGACATCAAATACAGTGAAAACAGGAGTTATACCATGGGGGAGGATATAATTATATATTTATATAATATATACGTGTGTGCGCGCGCGTGTGCGCACACGCGTGTGCGCACATGCACACGCGCACCAGTACTGGGGCTTGAATTCAGGTCTTAGTGCATCCCTCAGCTTTGTCATTCAAGGCTGGTGCTTTACCACTTGAGCCACACTTCCATTTCTAGCTTTTTGGTAGTTGAGATAGGAGCCTCACAGATTTTCCTGCCTGGGATAGCTTTGAACTATAATCCTTAAGCCTCCACCTTGAGCCACCAAAGCCTGGCCCCACTAGATATTTGATAAATGAAATACTGAAGGAAAGGGTCTGGATTTAACATTGAGTGGCTATAGGCCTTATTCAACTGCTATAGGCAAGGGGACATATAAGTCAGACTAGTTCCTACCACAACCCTCTCAACCACTACTTTGAAGCAACACTTCTCTAATATTGGGATTCATTTTCTGAGAGCAATTTTGTAAGAAGGCCTAGCCACAAACAGAACTGTCAATATTTTCTGGGTACCCAATAATATTTACATCTTCCTAGAAAAATTTGTGAGAAAAATTATGGTGGTCAATTTATAAGTAAGTTTTCCATAAAAATATTTACACAAAAGTCAAAAATTTCACAGGAGAACAAGCATTTGCAATATTGCAAAAAGATAACTTAAAAGTTAAAGTCCTAGCCAGGTGCCTAGTATCTTAGCAGCTAGCTACTCAGTAGGCTGAGATCTGAGGATCATGGTTTGAAGTCAGCCAGGGCAGGAAAGTCTGTGAGAATCTAATCTCCAATTAAAAAAAACCAGAAATGGAACTGTGGTTCAACTGGTAGAGTGCTAGCCATGAGTGAAAAAGCTAAGTAAGAGTATAAGTCCCTGAGGTCAATCTCTAGTACTTGGGGGATGGGCAGGAATAAGGTTCTAACTTTGAAACATGTTTAAAAAAAGTCTACCTCCATCCCTTGGTATTTCTCAGAAGAAAAACTAAAGGAATAGGAAATAAATAGGAGATAGGAATAAATGAATGATTTAGCACAACAACAAAATAGTCTGACCTGTTAATTTCTCAAAGCAAATTTTCCAAGAATTTAAGGTAAACATCATAATGTTGTTTTCTTTTTATTTTTTGTCATTCATGGGGCTTGAACTCTGGGCCTGGGCACTGTCCCTGCACTTTCCAGCTCAAGCCTAGCGCTCTACCGCTTGAGCCACAGCACTACTTCTGGCTTTCTGGTGGTTAATTGGAGGTAAGAGTCTCACAGACTTTCTTCCCCAGGCTGGCTTTGAACCATGATCCTCAGATCTCAGCCTCCTGTGTAGCTAGGATTACAGGGGTGAGCCACTGGTGCCCGGCCTATCACAATATTTTAAAGTGTCATAGTACTCCAAAAGCAAAGCACAAAGCACAGAACTCATAAACTTGAAAAGTTGGACTGCAGGAAAGGTAGCCACCTAGACTTTGCTTTACCTTGTACCATAAGCATGGGCTCCTTGCCCCCGCCGTGGGCCAGCATCTCCCTGCGGTAGCGCTCCCCAGCAGCCCTGCAGTAGAGGAAATGCTATTAGCCACACCTGCTCACCCATACTGCCCTGAATGTTTTAGAGGTGGTGACCCTGATGCCCCAGTCACAAACCCCGCCACCAGGCAAGAGGGGAGATTGTTTTCTTCCTTCTCAGAATCTAATTCTGACTTTTTGGGTGCTGGTACTAGAACATGAAATCTGGTCCTGGGTGCTGTGCCTTACCTTTTTCTCTTAAGACTGGATCTCTACTGCTTGAGCCATACTCCACTTCTGGCTTTTTGCTGGTGAACTGGAGATAAAGACTTTCGAACCATGATCCTCAGATCTCAGCCTCCTGTGTAGCTAGGATTACAAGCATGAGCCACCAACACTGGACCCAAATTCTGATTTTTTTTAAATTGATGCCAACATAAATAATACCAGAATCAATAGGTTTGTTATAATAGGATAAATGCATTTTTGGCTTTCTGTTTTGTTAACCAGTGGCCTCTCTACAGAATAGACTACATTTGATTTATTTGATATGGGAAGAATAAGATGCTATCCAATTCTGTATAATTGTGGGGACTATTTTAAAGGGAGGTTTAGAATTACTTATGTCAGTCTTTATTTTCAGAGAATACAAGAAGACACAAATGTGCTGGGAGCTGGTGGCTCAAACCTGTAATCCTAGCTACTCAGGAGGCGGCGATCTGAGCACTGAGGTTCAAAGCTAGCGTAGCCAGGAAAGTTTGTGAGACTCTTGCCTCTCTAATTAAGCACTAAAAAAGCCAGAAATGGAGCTATGGCTCAAGTGGTAGAGAGCTAGCCTAGAGCAAAAATGCTCAGGGACAGTGCCCAGGCCCTGAGTTCAGGCCCCAGAATTGGTGTGCGTACATGCATGCACATGTGTGTACATACATACACACACACACACACACACACACACACACACACACACACAGAGCATAGAAAGGATAGGTGAGGACACTGAAATAAGAAAAGGAGAGGAGAGTACAGGGTAGCTATCAGCAGCCTCTGTATGTGCTGGTGGCCAAAGCAGAGGAGCAAAGAGCTCCTTCATTTCCATCTTCTCAGGTCTACTGTTAACAGAGTGAGTGTAGGTGACAGTCCTCTGAGGAACACTGTACCAACACATGAAGGCACAGAAATTCTCCACATGAATGGTTCCTGCAAAGAGCTACTTAGTGATGTAGTTTTTATACTTTATGGAAGATGTCATTCTCTTAAATAAAACTGACTACATACCCTGATGAGTTAAATAATTAGGTGTGAGGGGAAGGATTGCTTTACTATGGGATGAGTTACACTCCAATTCTGAGTTAAATACATTTTGATACTATTTGCATTCTACTGACTCCAGAGCATTGTTATGTATAGGTAATTTTTATGAACATGGTCTCTAATCAGACAGGGTGTGAGTTCAAGGCCAGCCTGAGCTACAAAGCAAAACTCTGTCTCTAGATAAATAAAAAGGACCCTTTGAGAGAGGCTAGGAATTTCCTAGCCTAATGCTTTGACTAGCTTCCTTTCAAGTCTTAGTTTTATGTCTGGTTCCTACATGTATAGGTGAGAATTACACATTTAATCAAGATATAAATATTTTGAAATAGATGTCTTTAATAGTATGTGGTTTTCTTCTAAAGTATAATTTCCTCAAATAAGATGGTATTTTTCCTGTTTTATAGAAATCACCAATAGAGTATTGCAATCCCTGACACTGATTTATGGTAGTCAAGTTTGGCTGCAGATCCTTCAAAAATAATAAAATCTGAAAAGGAGACTAGGTGTCTACAGTCTGCAAAGGCAGAATACAAAATAACATGGGGGCAAGCTGTCCAACATTAAAAAAAAAACCCTCTATGCTGAGTGATGGTGGTGGCTCAAGCCTGTAATCCTAGTTACTTAGGAGAGTGAGATCTGAGGATTACAGTTTGAAGCCTATTCGGGCGGGAAAGTCCATTAAGACTCTTATCTCCAATTATCCACCCCAAAAGCCAGAAGTGGAGCTGTGGCTCAAGTGGTAGAGCACTAGTCTTGAGCAAAACCCTCAGAGACAGTGTCTAGGACCAGAAAAAAAAATCTTGACTTGAAATCAAGTTCCAAAGACTTTGGAACAGAGTATGATTATTAAGTGCTGAGACAATCCAAGTGTGTCAGTTAGAGAAGTCCAGGGAGTGAAAGGGGTGGGCAGGGAAGGGGCTGGAGATCTACATTGGGGAGACCCACAGGGTCCCTTCAGTCCAGTCTGTTAGTTGTGACACATAGAGCAAACTACTCACCTTCTGTGAGCCTCAGTTTCCTCCCAGCTGCTAGGTGCAATCTCTATGGCACCCTTCACATCTAAAGAGGGCATGTACCTAAGCTAGGGTAGGCGATGAAGTTAACAGGCACCTTTCAGAACTGCCTGAAAGGTGCAGGTGTGTTCATCCGTGTGGTGGTGAGATAAAGTGCTTTAAAACCACTATGACATCAGGGCATAATTACTATTTTGCTTTCAAAGAAACACCTGCTAAGGAATCCTAAGGCCAAACCCCAACTTCTCTGGGTTCCTGTTGTTACGAGGAGTCCTATGAGGATACCGAAGTCAAGTCAGGGAGGACCACAGCCCATGCCCTCTCCATGGTCAGCCTACCTTTCTCAAGCCCTGCTTCCCCTGTACCCTCCAGTGTCATGATCTGCCTTTATTCTGGGAAAGAAAGGTGGGGGCACTGGGTTGCTACAGGTTCGCCATGGTCATGGGCTAATCCCATGCAAGTGTCCCTTTGCCTCGTCTAGAAAACTGGGAAACGACTGTCTGGACCACTGGCTATCCCAGTGATGGATATGTGGGCAAGACCTCCCAGGCCAGAGGACAGAGAGCAATGGGAGGAGGCACTCTGCAGCTGTCTAAACTATGTAGGTGGCAGGCAGGGGCCACCGAAAATGGACCTGTGTTGGGGTAGGAAGAGAAGTTCCCTTCTCCAGACTTCCCAGGAAATAAAAAAGCAGGTAGAGGGGGTAATTTCCAGAAAGAAACTATTAACAGTGTTTCCAACGGTGCTTCATCCAAGTGAGGGAGAATGCTAAGCCCTGTGCCAACCAGTAAAGAAGAAAGGTAGAAGGCTGGGTGCAGAGGCTCACACCGTAATCTGAGCTACGCAGGGGGTTGAGATCTAAGGATCGAGGTTCAAAGTCAGCCTGGGCAGGAAAGCCTATGATACACTTATCACCAGTTAGCAAGTAAAAAGCCAGAAGTTGGAGGTGTGGCTCAAGTGGTAGAGTTCCAGCCTTGAGCCAAAAAGCTAAGGGACAGCACCCAGGCTCTGAGTTAACAGGGTGTACTAGAACACGTACACACATGCAGAGACACACACACACACACACACACACACACACACCATAAAAACACATGACGAATCACACAGGCTGCCCTGTGCAGATGTGGAGGAACCCTATTACCCCATCTGGAGTCCCTGGAAGGTTACATATAGACCCCACTGCAGAGGTGTGTGGCAAGAGGCAGGAGGGGGGCAGTCACTGGAGTGAAGGACAGAATGAAGACTGTTCACAGACCTCCCACATCATGTCCCCAGGGCCCTCCTCCCTCGGTGAGGCTGACTTCACATGTAATGAGGTGATGGGGCAACTGTGATTGAAGGAGGGAGATTTTATGGACCTCCCCCAGCCCTGATTACCTGTTGAAAGGATCCTGAAGGAAGCATTCCTTCCAAACCATGGATGCCACAGCTCTGGACATCAAATATGAGTAGTATTTGGCACCGTAGCCCACAAGGTGACTGAACCGCAGCTGCCAGGCCTGCCGAACACAAAAAACATGACAACAGTTCAGTCTGTGGATTCTGGGATTATACAAGAGAGCACAATGTTAGCACCCAGAGAAACCTGCACATGTGTGGCCTTAATCTCACCCTACAAGGGCATGTCATGTTGATACTGACACTTTCACATTTTATATATGATCAACTGTGTCTCCTCCAAAATTAGGTGTTGAAGGCTTAAGTTAGTACCTCAGCCTGTGGTTGTATTTAGAGTTGGGGCCCTTACAGAGGTGAGGTTACAATAAGCCTTGGATCCTCAGAACAGAGGGAGTCTGGACAGAGAGGCCCTGGGGACAGAGGAAAGGCCCGGGAAATGGTGCTCTGTGGGCTCTGGCCTTCAGCACTGGGCACGCACTGAGTCTCATCCTGCCTCCCCAGCTGTGCCACAGGTGGCCCCGTCTCTGAAGGCAGCACCCAGCGATGCAGACACACCCAGGCCACCAGTGAAGCATCGATGATGAGCAGCTGCCACCCTGAGCCAGTATAATCGCATGGCTTGTGATCCTGGTTGGTTATACTGTCTGGCTGTAGCCCTAGGTGAGACACATGCTTGGTGGTGGTCTTGGGGGAATACATCTATATTACTATTATTTTATGTCTCTGTCACAGTGACCAGGCCAACACCCTACCTACCATAAGATACTGTTCACTGCACAGCACCACAAAAACACAGATACCACCCCCAAGGGGTGAGGGTCCCAAAGGCTCACAAAAATCTAGGCCCTTGCTAATAGTAGCTGAGCACCACAAACGCAGCCCCCAGTCTTCTGCTAAGAAAGCCCATGCAGCAGGGAGGTACACAAGGCAGACACAGATTTTTGGTCTAATTTAGAGACAAGCAGTATTTAAAAGAAAGCATCTGTGATCAAATTTCAGTCTAGTAAAACTGGCATTTAATTATTTTTGCTAGTACTGGGTTTGAACTCAGTGCCTTGTGTTTGCAAGGCTGGTTAATTCTAAATTATTTTTGCTAGTACTGGGTTTGAACTCAGTGCCTTGTGTTTGCAAGGCTGGTTAATTCTATTACTTGAACCATACCCCAGCCCCTTAATCTAGCAAGCTTTGACAAAGGTTTAGCCAAAGGGCTAGGTCTCTGGAATCCATGTACACTGTGACATGGTTCTGTATAATATATAATCTTATTTTTAAAAGGGAGGTTTATGCTAATTGTCGACAGCTCACACCTGTAATCCAGCTACTCAGGAGGCTGAGATCTGAGGACTATAGTTCAAAACCAGCCCAAGCAGACTGTGAGTGAGACTGTTATCTCCAATAAACGACTGGAAAGGCAGAAGTGGAACTGTTGGCACAAGTGGTAGAGTTAGCCTTGAACAAAATGCTCAGAGAGAGCATCCAGGCTCTGAATTCAAGCCCCAGGACCATCACACATGAAAACACAAACACACACACACATACACACACACACACACACACACAGAGGAATCTTTACATTCTTCTGAAATGATGATCTACTCAACGATACGATACGTAGAACTCTGGATTGCCGGTGACATTTGTCACCCATAGGAGTCTAGATATGATGTTTTCTTTAGAGCTGTATCAGTACAGACACCAGGTCTTGCTACGGGTAAAGCACGTGTTAGGTACTCTTGAGTCTGTGTGTGAATCTGAATCTACACATAGGTGCCCCGACCTCCAACCCAGTGCTCCATGCAGGAAGTCTTTGCCTAGCACCTGCACCTGTGTCATCTAGGTGACCGGCACACCTCCCCCTTCTCTGACGTCACATTCTGGACCACCGTGGTCACATCTCCTTCAGATTGTGGGAGGTTCCCAGGTTCTGAGGTCACATCTACATCTCACATGGCCACATCTGCTCCCTGCCCCTTCCCTACTTAATCTCAGCCAGCAAGGTGTTCCCCCATTTCCAAGTGTGTCTCCAACCTGTGCTGGGGATGAGTGGCTCAGGCATAAACTTCTCTTTCTTGCCTGAAGATAATGTGGTAGTTTCTTTTCAGATACCCTAATTAAAATTTAACAATAAGCATATTGTAGAGGGGAGGCCCTAGAATTAACAGAACCCAGTCAACAGCCTTTGTTCTGTAACCTTTTCTCCTGCCCATGTGCCAGGACTAGCTTGGCAGCCTTTGCAGCACAGAGCAGAGTTTAATTATTTAGATATGACTTGAAGTCAGTTTTATCTTGAAAGCAGACCTGCCTCAAGAATGGCCTGACTTGAGTGAAGCAAGAAACATCTAGGGTCTGGCGCCAGTGGCTCATGCCTGTAATCCTAGCTACTCAGGAAGCTGAGATCTGAGGATCGAGGTTCAAAGCCAGCTCGGACAGGAAAGTCCCTGAGACTCTTATCTCCAATAAAACATTAGAAAACTGGAAGTGGCACCGTGGCTCAAGTGGTGAAGCCCTCGCCTTGAGCTGAAGAGCTGAGGGACAGCGCCCAAGCCCAGAGTTCAAGCCCCATGACTGACAAAACAAAACAAACAAACAAAAATCTAGGTTCCTTAGTTTCCTCTACCCCAAAGTGAGTTGCCACATAAAGAGAGTAACTAAAAAGGACCTTTCAAAACTACAGAAAGAAACATCAAGGCTGGTAAGGAGATAATGGTATGGTATGGTATTGATAGCTCATGCCTGTAATCCTTCCTACTCAAGAGGCTGAAATCTGAGGATCACAGTTTGAAGCCAATCTGGGCAGAAAAGTCTGTGAGACTCATGTCCAATGAGCCACCAAAAAGCTAGATGTAGAGCTGTGGCTCAAGTGGTAGAGCACCAGCATAGAGCCAAAAAACTAAAGCACTGTGCCCTAAGTTCAAGCCCCAGTACCAACACACAGAGACACACATACAGACACACGCAGATTGTTGTGGAGCTCCATCATCTGAAGTGGACCCTCTGCCTGGATTCAGGTGCTTTCATTGCAGCTTGCTCCTTAATTACAGGTTTGGATTTGTACTACACACCCTTCCCTTACCTCAAGAAATTATAGCTACCTAACACCTTTCATCAGAGGTTTGTAAGCTCATGGCTGACATAGACCTACAATTCCACTGTGGTTTGAACACAATTGCTGAACTCCGGCTAATTCACCCTAATATTAAGCCTTGTTTTCATGTCATTCAACCATCTGAAAAAAATGAAAGACAGCTTTTCAGGTTATGCTCTGATATGTATTCTCTCTCTCTCTCTCTCTCTCTCTCTTTCTCATCTCTCTCTCTCTTCTCTTTCTGTTTCCAGTACTGGAACTCAGAGACTTGTTCTCTCTCTCTCTTAGCTCTGTTTGTTTAAGGCTGGTACTCTACTACTTGAGCCATACCTCCACTTCTGGCTTTTGGGTGGTTAACTGGAGATAAGTCTTACTGAATTTTTTTCCAGGCTAGCTTCAGATTGGGATCCTCAGATCTCAGCCACCTGAGTAGTGAGGACTACAGGTATGAGCCACCAATATCCTCTTCCTTTTAAACAGAGGTTTTCCTCTTCCTAAGAGATACCTGTCAGATGGACGAAAGCACTCACTCTCCTTTGATGTTTAACAAACATGTCTAGTTCCAAAAGCAAAAGACACAAACACGTTTACAACCTTCCTTAGCTAATAGACATGTAGTTTTTGAATCTTCACACTATCTCAGGGCATGGCTATGTAATGTTTTCTTGTGTTTGGTAATGTTCCACCTGCAAGACAGAACATGGAGCTAAAGAAGCGACAGGCTGCAGGCTCTCTGGATACACTACATACCTTGGCTTGAGGACCCTTTAAGGATCCTTATTTACTGGTCCATCCTCTAACATCACAGCCTTCCAGGGACAGGAATGTAGCAATGGAGCAGTTTCTTTACTATTTCTTCCCTCATCGTCTGGACTAGGGCCTGGTGCACAGGGAGTACCATCAACCTCGTGCTGAGCACTAATGAGGGGTGGACTTCTGACTAGCTAGAGGGGCCCCAGAATCACATTCCATTGCAGACAAAGAGGCGGCTATGGTGTAAAACAAATTTGCAGCTTAGGCTATTAACAGCTTCCGAAAAACAGTTCTGCCACTACTCAAGAGGGTGAGGTTCAAAGCCAGCGGAGGCAGGAAAGTCCATGAGACTCATCTCTAATTAAACAGTAAAAAGTTCAGAAGCTGTGGCTCAAATGGTACAGCACCAGACTTGAATGAAAAAAGCTAAGGGATTACACCCAAACCCTGAGTTCAAACCCCAATCCCAGCATTCGTTGATTATGTGACTTTCTGAAACTACTTTTGGCACCTGACTGGCAAGGAAGACTTGAAGTATAGGCAACAGCTAGGCTGGACAGACACCTGACCCACAGAAACTGACATTTACTATGTCGAGTAATTTATTACCTATATAGAACTTTACTATCATGATTACTTTTAGATAAGAGTTGTGTTTGGAAACAGCACAAGAAATCACCCACTAAGGGTGAAAAAGGGATATCTATATTTATTAAAGGTATACTTGATGTCTTCATGAAGTCTTTACAGGTGGTTTGGTTTGTTTATCAAAACAGTAACAACTAATGAAAAGTGCCGGGTGCAGGTGGCTCACGCCTGTAATCCTAGCTACTCAGGAGGCTGAGATCTGAGGATCGTGGTTCTAAGCCAGCCCAGACAGGAAAGTCTGTGAGGTTCTTATCTCCAATTAATCAACAGAAAACCTGAAGCATCGCTGTGGCTCAAGTGGTAGAGCATTTGCCTTGAGCTGAAGAGCTGAGGGACAGTGCTCAGGCCCAGAGTTCAAGCTCCATGACTGACAAAAACAAAACAAAATAATAAACCCAGAACAAATAATGAAAAGTTTATATTTTACAAATAGACTAGAGAAGAGTAATTTTCCCAAGGCTGCCGGCAGAGCCTCCTAACTTTCTCTCCGCTTCTTTCTAGAAACAGAACCAAAGCACTGGCCCCCCTTCTGCTAAGCTTGAGCAGCGTTGTTTCATCTGGCAGGGATCCTGGCCCAGGCTGCCCCTTGGGCAGAAGTGATGTACTGTACAGGTC